CACCGGACGCTGCAGCTTCGTGCCCGTTAGTCTTCGTCTCGTGAGCACGCTTGGAAGGGATATCGAGACGTCGTCGAGCGATGTCACGACGCGATGGTCCGCGTAGCCAAAGAATGGTGGCTCGGGAGTCGATTTCTCAGGTAGCCAAGCACCCGTGCAACCTAACAGAGAGCGTAATCCTCGTCGGATCTCGAGCGACCTTTCCCTTCGACTTCGACGGAGCGTTTCGGGATCGCGCGCGCGCGAATCGCGGGACAAAAAGATAAAGGGGTTCGATCGGGTCGCGCGAGCACCGATCCAGCGTGGGCGAGTTTAGCCAACGGGGCTCTTGAAAGTCACTTAACTTAGATTGCGCCGACGAAATGACTTTAGTTCTCCCGGAAAACTTCGTTCCGCCGGAGGAGCATTGCTTGAAAGCACCGAAAAAAGGGCAACGCTAGGGGACGGGGCAGGAATGCACGGCGACAGAGAGACTGCGGGGCGAGCAACGATACAAAAAGACGAGACCCAACCGGCACACATGCGTCGCCTGCCGGAGCTAGTAGCTTCCGAGGAGAATACAGTGCGCTGCTGCACCTAGGCTGATGCATTCCATCCTGTACATTCAGCAAGCATTTCCGGCAACTTCGAGAACGTTTTTAGTGGCCGATACTGATCATTGGACTGCCGAGCCTCGTGCTGCTTTGTTCGACCACGAGAGACCCTTTTCGGTAGGAATTTTTGGGACTGGACACGCGGTGGATTTTCAGCATTTTCTAACTTTTAATTAACACTGTGCCGTCCGGTGGCACCACGCTGGTGCCATTAACCACTTAAAGGCCTAATATCTTTGGTTATTATTAGAATCTTGAAAGGTATGGAATGCAAATTTTGCAATTATGCAATTTTTCACGCACACATTTTGATCCAACATCAAACGTATGTTGGATATGATAAGGTTAATATGAGATATGATAAGGTTAAAGCGAACACCCCTTGTAATTATTAACACTATGCCGTCCGGTGGCACCACGCTGGTGCCATGCAAAAACTATCTGTTGTATGCCGGTGGTACTACTTTGGTGCCATTTATAGTCTTCGAACGACGTATTTCAATATCGTCGCAAAAATTGTTCGAAATAATGTTTCCAGGGAAAACGAATTTTCGCTACGTTTTGGTGATTTTCGATCACCGTGTAACGTGCAGAATCTCCGAACACGGGGTCCCTACTGCATTATATTTTGCTAGGAATGCATTGGAAATTCCTTTCCGCGCGACGGGTCGTGGCGGACGTCACCAGAGGACAACGGAGGAAACGTCACGTCCTGACGTTTGTCCGCCATCGATCACGCAGATTTCATAAAACCGAGGTCTCCTTGCGTAACCCTCCGGGCGGACATCCGGTTGTTCCGTGTTTTACGTCAGAACGGTTTATAGCTTCGCGTCTCTTTCCCTCGTGTTTCGGTCCATCGACGAACACCGACGATTTTCCAGTCTTGGGCACCGGGCTCGCACAGAATGGGGCTCGATGCCGTTATTTATAGCGCGCGAACGCACCGCGACGAAAATTGCAATAAATAACAAACGCACGCTGTCATATTAATTCTTTCTATTCTGCATTCGGCGGGTCGCGATAATAGAGATATAAAATCCGGTAGTAAATCGGTCAAGGCTCGTGAAATATTTCTCGCGACGGATACGTTGAGCTCGGCCGAAAAGAATGGCGGAGGCTTGCAAATTAGCTAGGCCACTGGACAAATAAATTGAACCTTGTCCGACAAGTTTTCTACGAGGTTCTGGTTCCTGAGAGCCATTTTCACTGAAGCGCATTCACATTGGAATTTAACTGAATTCAATTGAAATCAGTCGGTTTATTTACACAAATGCCGTATAAATACACGCGTAGTATATATAAATTTATGAAACGAGATTGATCATAAATACAACTTTATACAACGTTGTCGCGGAACAATATAAGAAGGTTTTACAAATTTTTAGAACGTAACATTGAATCCACTGCATACTTCATACTTCGATAGATACATTCATTCACACCAGCCTAACTATGAATTGATTCATCAAGAAATATTCAATTCAATTCGAAAGCTGCTTTATTGTTTTGTTAGTACTGTTTTATGGCAAATCGTGATTGTATGATATAATAATTACGGTGGAAGATAATTTATTTTGTACATCGTTTTTCATTTTTTTCTCTGATCGTGTGACTGTAAGTGTACAACTATATTGTATACATAATTATAACGATATTTTGTAAAAGACTAATTTCAATGAATTAATAAACATTCTTGTATTTTCAAATATCATTTGTCATATCAAGAAAAGATCATGTTAAATATCATATTTCGGACAAACATTTAATCGTAACTTACTTAAAATATTTGCTGTGCACTGACTAAAAACAGAAAACGCTTTATTTTCTTTTATGTTCTATCATATCAAGAATTATATTTTTTGAAGCGATAATTTTAATTTTTAATATTAATTGAAGAAAAATGATATTAAATAATGAATTTAAAATAGATGAAACATCAAACGTTGCTCAAATGAAGCAATAAATACATAAAATGTCTTACTTCTAAGAATGTACATAACTTTTATTCTTCCTGGCTGAAGACTTTTAGCTTTCTTATACCCGTGACTGTAACAAATGACGCGGCATACAGCGCAGTCCCTGCATCGAACGTGAAATAATGTTGTCAGTCGTTAAACGAATTTGTCTGCGCTTTTCATCGATGTTTCCCCGTCTCTATCGACTCTAACGAATTTACTTAACCGCGTGTCGAATTACGTTACAAAATGCGACTTCCCGTCGAAGAACTACACATCGTCGGCGCACCGTTCCACCGCCAAGATGGACGCGTGCACCCGACACGCGTAATTTGTTCCCGTTCATCGATCGGCTGGGCCACGATGCATTAGCAGAAAATTCACTTATTTTATGGCATTCATTTTCGGATTTATATCCATTGCGCTTCGTATCGCGAGCACGTACACGTTTCAACGTACACGTCATTGTCGGCTGTACATTTTAGAGCGGGCAGAGATCCCAGTTAATTATGCAGAAAATATGTGTATTGTTATAATTAACTCATGGTAATAATGCATTAGCGTTTTGCAGTAGATGGCGCCAGCACAGATTTAAATTATACTCGTTCGTGGAGATTAATTTATTTTTAAATTCTTAAGTAGATTCGCTTGGTATCGCCAGTGCATAATTACGGCTCTATTAAATGGAACATTATATATTTCGTGTTACGTGGAATTGTGTGTTAGGTATTAATATACGATTTATTTATACTCCGAGAAATAAGCTGTGAGCATTTTTAATGGTTCAACTGTCTCGTTTTTAGATTTGTCGTAATATTTTGTAAATTTCATAATTTCGTAATTTCGTAATTTCGTAATTTCATATTTTCATCTTGTTTCATCGTGTTTTTAAATTGTCCGATATATTCGATATTCAATTAATTCGACATCGATAATAGATAATTGAATCGCGATTTCGTACCAATATCTCGTGCGTTTCATTGAAGTGAAAACCGGTTCCAAGGATACAATCAGTTTTAATTATATAAAGTATGAAGCATTCGTATATTTGTTTTACTCTTTCATCAACGAATAATTAATCGAATACCGTTTGAACTATGTTCCATATTGAAAGGCTGTTTAAAGCGAAAACAAACCATTCAGCGAGACAGGCAAAAAACAATAATGAAGCAACAAGTTCAAAGTGGGATTAACTGTCTTAATCAGTTAACTTAATTAATACTACTGCTAGTATCTTTCTTCTGAAAAATTGCACAGAATGTGTTAAATCGAATGCCTAAACAAAATTTTAAAAATTACAAGCAAAAACAAAAATTTTTAACGAAGTAATTAAATATTGATTTGAATTTTCTCTTTATATAATCCTAGCATAAATTGTGCTTTGCATTTACTAGCGACATTATTATTTGTTACAGCTAATTCGAAAAATCATTATTTACATCAATTTTTCTCTTAACGAACTTACACTGATTGGCTTCTGAATCGTCCATATACTGCATGTATCACACTTTCTTCAATGTTTAAATATTGATAATAGAATAGTAGAATTTTATTTCGATTGGAAACACGAGAATAATATTCATATTTAGTTGCGCATGCCCCGTATCTCCGTGAAGAACCTGTCACGATATTATAAGGCAAGAAATTAAACCGTGGTTGCGACAAAAAACCCAACTCTGAAACAATAAAAACAACAACTATCGTCGCGACGCAACGATGCACAGAGACGATTACAGTAATTTCTCCCGGAAATGCCATATTTTGGGTTGCTGTGAATTTCACTGTGCTGGTCTTACGCCTATGTAATTTATTCCTACGTCGATGCTAAGGGTTGACGGAATCGGTTGAGCGTGTGATTCGACACGTGACGTGAATTCCGGAAGACAATACAGAATGGTTTGTTTAGGCGTGAATCAGGTAAGAAAAACGGCGGAGCTATAATACAAGGTACGTGATAGATACTAAGTACGTGACCGTCGACTCATGGCATGTGGCCTGCAAATTGCCTTCGAATCGTGGCAAAAAATTAGAAATAAAAAGGTGAAGTCATCGTTTTTATTCTAGCATTACTACGTATTCATATTAATGCCCTGAGTTTTTATAAAAACGAGCCGCGAGGCCCGAAGAATCGCAACTTAGTATTCTCAAAAATCTGTTCCTTTCAATTCCGATCTCCGAACATTTCTTGGAGAAATTACTTATAATACTTATTTATAATATAAATATATTATAATATAAAATATATAATATATATAATATATTATAATATAAATAAGTATTATAAGTAAATCATATAATATAAATACTTATACTTATAAATACTTCATAAATCATATAATATAAGTATTATATATATAATATCGAATATAATATAGAATAGAATATAAAATATAATATAAATGACTTATATACTTGTTAATTATTATAATTAATTCATAAGGATGCCCGATCACGCTACCGTATTCACAAAACTTTGAAAAACTCGTTTTCCCACTACTGCACCTGTTTCGCTACATTCCTTATCATTTGCCAAAGTGAGTACCCGTCACATTATCGGGACACAGTCTTATCACTCCGCCAGGTTCGTGTTAATCGAGATAAACTTCCACTGATAAGAAGCCGAGCAAGGGAAGCGGCTTCAGGTTTCTCGCCGAGATCCACTCTGAACCAGACTCCAGCATCTAGAGTATGTTTACGATCATTTATAACTTTAGTAATTAATTTTTTTTCAACATACTTTCTAAACTATGTGTAAATATTAACGAAACATGTGGAAATGTAAATTAGTTGTTCGAACATGATATTCAAATAACTTTAAAGTTGTTGTTTAATTTTTACAAGTTCAAGACCTGTATTTTGTTGCTCGAGCGTTCATTATTTAAACATTTTGGATCAGATAACTGTGATTTATTCCAATACGTTGCAGAATATTGAACAACAATATAGTAAGAGCATCGAAATTGATATTTAGTTTGTTTTACAAATTATACATATTTTGTATTATTTTAATTGTTTGTTTC